GAGCTGGGTGGGGACAGGGGAGCCCAGAGCTGGGTGGGGACAGGGGAGCCCAGAGCTGGGGGGGGACAGGGGAGCCCAGAGCTGGGGGGGGACAGGGGAGCCCAGCTGAGCTGGCCGGGGCACGGGGACTAGTGGACCTGGATAACCAGGTTTGGCACCGAGCAGCCAGAGCCTCCTCTTGCTTCAGGAGGTTCGTTTTTTTCTTTTTTAATACGCTGCAGAACAAAACCATGCCAGAAAGAACACTTCTGTCCCTGCACCAGTGGTCCGGAGGCTGCTCAGGGTCCCCTGTGTGCCACCACTGCCTCCTGCCTGTTCCCAGCCAATGCCAGCTCCGAGCAGGCTCCGTGTTGGTCCCCAGGATGTCACAGAGGCAGCAGACAGGTCAGGGCTGCAGACAGAGGGGTGGGAGAACACGGATAATTAACCCAGCAGCAAAACGGAACAAAATGGAAGCAGCTGAGAGCCCTCAGAAGGCTGAGCAGTCTGACCTGTGTCCGTAAGAACCTCAAAGCAAACACAAACCTTCAGTCTGTCCTGGCTTAAGAAATCCCTGAGTGGGATTTTAAGGCTCTTTGCAGTAATTTTCCTCAGTTTACTGCAGTGCAACACTTCCCCTTGGAGCTGTGTCCCCAACCAGCTCTGTCTATAGGGCCTCTGCAGTGCCATGGATCCACACAGGGAATCCCACCAGCTCCCAGGATCCACCTAAGGAATCCCTCCTGCTCCTCCAAGGCCCTGTGTGACCACAAGCACACGCTCACCAGGGACACCTGCAGTCTGGGCAGAGAGCAGGAGCCTGAGCACAGCTTTCTGTGGAGGTGAGACTGAAATGAGTGAGCTTTTAAAAGCGTTTAAACTGAAATGCTCTCTGTGGAGTTTAACAGGAGTGCCTTATTCTGCTTCAGCTCTAATCTGTTCCTAATCAACTTAAGATAAATTTATCTTAAGCCAGATTTGTAGCTGTTAAGAAGGATCCACGTAGCCTTTTGCTCCAGAATTGGTTTTGTAGAAGGATCCACATCTTTAAATGGGTGAAACAGGGGCCCTGGGAGCTGTGTCAGGAGTGAGGAGTCACGGAGCCAGCTCAGTCTCTGGAGCCCAGCACAGCATCCCATGGAAAACTGCATCCAGAGATTAACTGCTGTCCCAGTTTCTCATAATTAAGCAAGATTAACAGATAAATAGTCCCAGCAGCCACCAGCATGAGTAGCTCAGATTTGTTTCCAATAAGGCTCAAGGGGCCAAGAGAGGTTTGGGCAGCCGCAACTGCCTTTAATGGCACTTTGGACAGACAAATTCTAGTAATTTGTGTGTCCCAAATCCATTTGTTACATCCACTGCACTACTGCTGCTCACTTGGCATTTCTATCTGCAGTGAAATGAGCTCTCAGAGGACCCAGTGCTTCAGGCTGTTTTACACAGGAGCCCTGAGCATCCACCCAGTTCTGTCCTGGGCTTTCACGCTGGTTTAGTTAACTCAAACTGGGGTCGAGGGTGAGGGAAAGGGGAAGAAAGGATGAGGGCAGGAGGGACAGACAACTAAGGATCACAGATCTGTTGGAATAGGGATTACAGGAGTCTCAAGATGAAGCAGGTATGAATATAAACTTTTGTCCAGATGGTATAAATGCCATGCACTGCAGTGCTTTGTACACACAGCAAGAGATGCTGTTTCTAAGCACTCAGAGTTACTCCTTCGCATCCAAAGCAGAATTACTTAATTACTTGCACTTCTTGAAAGGTGTAGAAGTGTGGTATAACACAGGCTCCTACAACACTGACAAATGTTCACTCCAACCTAAACAGGACATAACAGGCTGACAGATGTCTCAGGGGGCTGGAACTGCACGAAGTGTTTTGCAGTCAATGACTGAGTTCCTGCTGCCAATGTAGCAATGAAGAACAGCAACAAGACTTAAACATGATTAGTATTATCCAACTGCTTTGTTATAAATATATTATATACATTCAAACATCACATTAAAATATTATTCCATTACACCAGAAGAGATTAAGGCTTTATATTATTTACAGAAACAAGCAAGCACCTTAAAAAAAAAAAAAGAACAAAACACCAGTCATTGACATTTCCCTTCTAACATTACAAGTTTGATACCTTGAGCTCTTGAATACAGCTATTTGCAGTGTGCCCAATGCTAGAACTAGTTTAAACATTTATTGTCAGGGTAGGAAACACTTAATAGCAGACTCATCAGTGAGCACTCCACACGAGCAGGTGTTGTACGGGGTGCCCTCCCTCCTCAGAGGCTCCTTACATTGAAGGCTTATGTAGAAATGGTTTGCTCAATTCCACGTGGAGAGTAGAACAATTTTATTTTAAGGGAAGCTGAAGACACTTGAGGATTCGTGGCCCACTGGAGGAGCAGGATTCTCAAAGTCTGTTCCACATGACATCAATTGGATTTAACATGATAGTGAAGACAGAGCTGCACGTTGATCAATCACAAAGTGCATTGAACAGTCATGATTTTCTGGGCTCCCCCTGGCCTGACACTGCTCTCCTGCAGAGCACTTGGACTCGAACACGGAGTGACAAACCCTTGTCACCACTCTCCCTATAGGACTTAGGCAACAAGCTATTTTGGAAGTGTTAAATAATGTTGATACAACACATGTTTCCTACACCACCACGTACCACTGGAGTGACTGTCCTGCCCTCGGGCTGCCCGACAGCTCACGGACACAGCACGTTCTAATGTGTAAGCAGACATGGCTAAACAAAAAGGTGCTCAGTGAGAGTAATCATCTTCATTTCAAGTATTGTTTTAAGAATTAGTT